CACAAATTAGCATTACTAAATAAGTGACGGCCAGAACTTGCACACCCAAACACACCTTGGTTGGAGAGGGCAGAGTATCCTGGGACAGGGAAAGGCTTGAGAGTGGTGCAGTCAGCTTCACAGATGAGAGTCTTCACCAGAGGCTGGATGTCTTCCATATTGTGCTGCACTGCCGCCACCAACATCCGCCTCAGAAATCCAGTGTTAAACAATGGACCAGCCCTGATGTTTGAAGCAACAAAGAGGAAAAAATAAGAAAATTTAAGAGCGATTAATTATGCATCATCAAGTGTTTTTACGTACAAATGACATCATCTCACCAAAGTGGTCCAAGCTCTACTGCAGTTTTTCCTGGCATACTCCCATGGCACTGGCAAGGCAGCTGTCTGTACAGGTTTTCTGTTAATACCAGAAGTAGAAATGTGATTATTTATGCTTAGACTACTTCTATCTGCATTATGCATTTGGTAACTTTACATTTGACCAGTTCAAGCATTCCTTGGGAATCAAACCCATGACCTTGCATTACTGGCTCAACAGTTTGGGCTACAGGAAGGCTATCGGGATGCTACTATTTGTTTGTCCAAATGCCTTGTCACCTTCCACCATGCTTCCTGGTTTGAGGAACACCCTTTCTTCACACCACTGGCAGTGCAACAGTTGCCGCAGTTTCTTAGCAGACTCATCTGCCTGGGTGGGCCCTCTGAGAACTCGCACCACCACGAGGACAAAGTGCTCAAGAGCCACGGCCAATAGCACCTCGATCCCTTTGTTGCAGCGTGCGGCCGCCCTGCAAGTACACGCATTAACAAGGCACTTTGCAAACTGTCAAATAAAATACATTTGTGTTTGGTAATTCATTTGAGGAAGTGCCCACCTGGCCACAGATGCCAATACCATACGTGCAGCGAGTTCCCTGTAATACTCGGTTCGGACGATCTGGCAGCCGTAATGTCGAAGCGTCACATTCAGGGATTTGGAGTAAAGCGAACCAGCGTCTGTTGACGTCACTGAGACTATGCCCAAGTTTCGAACATTACGAAAAGCTGCATCCAGATAGTTCACAGCCGTTCCAAATGGGTCGAGGTGTCTGATTTGAAGACAAGAATGTGGTGAGATTTGATATTTGCAATAACTAATCATAGGTACAGTGTTTTTAGTCATTATTTTTCAGTCTCTTACTCACATGTAGTCAAAGGGTCTCAGGTGCATGATGACATTGGCGTCCATCTTCACCACCTCTACCGAAGCAATGGGAGAGTCTGCGTCTCCCGCTCCATCTAGCTGCCGGCCCGAACGATTCCCCTCTACTCGGATGTGGTTCAAATGACAATTCTCCTTAATCATCTTAACGCAAGCTTCATTTATGTCGTTTATAGTAACCTTTACGGAGTTACGCAGGTGCTTTGCCCACTGCAAACCCATGATGCCTACAAAAGGGATCAATATGTTATGCAAATATGCTTTGTTATACTTTCATTTCTATTAAACAATTTAGAGCAAAACCTGAGCAATGATATCATCATCATGAGCTATTAGCTTGTCTTTATGTAAGTAGATTTCCTACCAGTGGCTCCAAAGGCATCGAGACATTCGAGTGGATTCCTGTCCTCAGCAAGAACGGCGAGAGAGCAGAACACCAGCTGCCTACAACGGTTACATAGAGATTGAGACTTATTGAAGTATTTGGTCCGTGTTGCGTTCATATATCATTCGAACCGCACCAGAGTTCGTTTGGAAGCTTGTTTGGTGCGCACCAGGGTTCGAACGGCAGCGTTCACACTTACTCAAACGAACCGCACTAACAGAGCAATCGCAATAGGGTTCGATTTAATCGAAAAAAACATGACAAGTGTGAATGCACCCTTAATTATAGGTTTTTCAACAGGATGTCCATGACCCATATATTTTAATAATTTTTCTTTCTAAATTGTATATATTGTTTATGAAAAAATAAATACAATATTAAATATTATTTAATTGATAAAATGTTAAAAAACATATTAAATCGCTATTATCATTAATATATTAAATATTAAGCAACCTTCAACCAAAGCTGCGAAGCAACAAATAAATATTAAATTATGGCGGGACAATGTACACATTGTACAATCTGATAATTTTGCCGAAAAAAAGAACACAATTCTCCAACCTGTTTGTCTTCATCTTGCGGCTGAAGTAGGTGTCTGTCTTCTGGGGAGTGGTGTGGTTGGGCAGGAGCTGGACATTGGTGCCCAACTCTTTCATGATCTCATAGGCCTGTCCACCTGGGACTGAAGAGGATGCTGAAAATCAAAATGGACAAATTATTTCCAGTTATTGCAGCTAAATGCATATGTGCATATTGTAACGAAGAAAAGTGTTCTATTGTTACAGATGCCTCCTGTGAGACTTTAAACTGCAAACCAAAGGCCTAATCATAAACAACCACAAGGCGATCTTCTACAATATGTTACTCCCGAAGACATTCATCCTGCAATTGTGTGAGTGCCTTATGATTTAGGTTAGATTTGACTATTCTTACCCAACCTGAATACACAGGGTTTGAATTGCAAGAAAAAAAGACACCACAAAAAAAACTTGAATGGAACTACACAAAAACAATTCCAACATCTACATTATTCCACATGAACAAACTGGCATCTAGTTCAGGTGGTTCTCTTTTAATGGCAATTGTCTCACTCTCTGCTGCGCAGACAGCACAAATGCACAATTATCTTTCATGTCAGTAACGAGGAAGCATCATCAAAATCTACAAAGTAAAGGCTCACCAGGGTCTTCAAAGGGGACATCTGAGCTCCCTGAATAGCTGGCTTCTGTCTCACCCTTGTTGATGTGGCGTTTGAGATGACTGATCATGTCTGTCTTGCGAGCAATAGTGACAGAGCAAACCACACAGTGGTAGTGAGCCACCAGTCTGCCTTGAGCCTGGAGATGAGATAAAAACATACATTAATAGATCCATTCCAGAGGATCTATTTCCTGATTAATATGCACATGAAGAAAAACTTCATAACCCTGATCTCACCTGGTCAGAGCCTAGACTGGACTTGAGTTGTCGGCAAGGTAGATGACAGATGCACATCCTTTGACCTGTAAAAGGGGAAACAAAGTTAACTTTCCCAAGCAACATTTTATTATTATTATTTATGTATTAGCTGATACCTGAGGCAACAGCTTACAAATGCTAGTTGGAAAAGACAATTATAGAGGTGCCAAAGGACTAAAGACTATTTACTTTCAAATTCCACATAAACTTTCCAGTGCAGGTTTTGCAGATGCCGTCTGAGCTTATGGCTGTAACAGGCCTTGAATTTCTCTTCTGGACACAATGGACAAGACTTCCTTCCAGCTGTTGAAATCAGTGAACATATTTGTTAGCTTCCGATCCAAGTGGTCTGCTGGTGGTTTTAATAAACACAGAATAAACATATACTCTGGTTTCTCTACCTCCATTTAAATCCACAAGCCCTTCGAGCCCTTCCAGTGTAGTTTGGATAGACACATGTCTCTCTGAAACAGAGACAGACAGTTTCAATGATTTAACCATGCTGAGGGACATTATGCCTGGAGAGTGTAATAAGTTTCATAGGGAGTCAATACGGCTGAATATTTACCTGATATAACAGTGGAGGATGTCTGTCCATTTTTGTCCTCCATTTTCACTGGATTTGTTGAGGCTTCGTGAATAGGCATTTGCTCACATGCCTCAGAATCTGCAAGCATTTTATTCTCTATATCTCTCTCAGTATCTGTTGAGGCACACAGAAATTCACATTTCAGAAAAATAATTGTTGAGACAAACCAGTTTTCCTTTTGCATTAAAAATATTTAATCCATTAAAAAAAAATAATAATAATAATAATTTGGATACTTTCATGTCCCAAGGTTTTTTTTTTTTTTTTAATTAAAACAAACAGTTTCCAACTTCTTTCTGTTTTATGAAAGCCACATTAAAATTGCCTTGGTATCACATCTTATTATTGTTTTAAAACTATGATATTTTAAACATGGAGTGAAATAATCATTTTAGCATTTATTGTGAACAATGTGGAATGGTTAGATTTGGTCACATATAAATATATTACAGTAAATCATAATTATTACATAAAATATTATAAGGTACAAAGCCATATTTGTTAGATAAAAAAATCTAATGATGACATAAAAGGTCGATTTTTTTATTCTCGCATTTTTATTACTTATAATCTCATAATTTCGATTTTTAAGAAATGGGATAACTTCCGTTAAAGACATTTTATTCGAATTGATTATGTTTGGGCTTCTAGTGGAGGGAGAAATTACAAAAAAGTGATGTATGATGGATCTTAGCACACCGATCGCTTTGCAGACACTGTAGTGAAAAAAAACTATGAAAATTCAACAACAATACTGGAGCGCCCTCGTATGTTAGCCAAAGCACATTTCCATGGAGTAACCAATCCCGCTTTCCGAGGCTGTTTCCAAGCAGAACGGCCCTAGTGCGGAGCTCCGCGACAAGACCATTGCTACGTACACAATACTGTTATTTACAGCTTATTGTTCATCTCAGAAAAATGCATCGATTGATTTAGTGTTTGTAATCTATCTACATGTCAGTTCTTTGTCGATATGCGCTGAGATAGAGAGACGTTTTGAACATTTACATTATTTACACCTAGGTCCTATGGTGGAGCTCCGTGAGGAGGCCTATATTTACTTCAGCAGTTTTGAAGTCATATTAAGGATAAATTGCATAAAAATACAAAATTCCTAAATGCGGAGTGTTATTTAAGGAACATACAAAACACGTCGGAATCATTTTATCATTATTAATTCGAATTATTTTGCCTTTTATATCGGCGTCCTCCTGGTGAAGTTGCTCAGCGTCCTCTTCCCTGAGCTCCGCCATTTTCCCAAACTAGCGTACGTAGAATCCGTACGCATTGAGCGTTGTGGGCGCGCACCCAATCGTTTTCTCTCAAACTACGTAAACTAAAGAGAGCGGAAGTGAATTCAACCAGCCGAATGCAATGCTAGTTGAGAAGTGAACAGCTGTCATTTTCTTCTCTTTGTTATTTAGCGTCGTATTTAACAACATTCCTCCTGCTTGTGGTAGGTAAATCTCTTTTACACGGAAGCTGCAGAAAATAAAAACTTGTAGTAGTCTTGAATTCCCTGTTTCTTAGTATGATAAGATTTGTAATTTGTAAACAGTTAGGAAGGTCAGGACAAATGTGTTGTATTGTAAACATTCGGTTGACATTATTGTCACAAGTGTATTTCAGTGTGACCTAAGTTGTCACATATTTATAAGTTCCTACATATTCACTGACGAGATTTAATTGTTGGTGGTGTTTCAGTTCAGTAGGTTTACATTGGTGTTATCTGTTCCTCAAGGATGAACTGGATTTCTGTCTGGGATTTGCTGATATGCAGCTCTTGGGAGAAAAACTCTTTTCCTTGTACTTAGTTCTTACTAGAAGGGCACTCTAAGGTACTACATTTTTGTATGAAAAGTACTTTGTAAATAAAGTTTTTAATGATATCATTGTAGCAAAAATCGGTATGTACATTTTTAAATCCAAACCTAGGACTCCTTATCTCTCTCTATTTTTTCCTATTAGTTTGCATTATGCAACAGAGTTTTGAATAATAAAAAACGTACCCAAATGTCATATTTCTAATTAGTTTTAGTTTTTTTTTCTTTTTTTCAGTTTTAGTTACTTCAACTTGTTTTCAGTTAGATGCCAATTTTCTTGTATTTTTTTTTAAAATATTTATATTTTATTTCAGCTTTATTTCAATTAATGAAAGCATTCTTTTTTTATATAATTTTAGTTTTAGTACATTTGAAGTAATATGTTGTAAATGCCATTCAGCACTACAGTTTTACTGCTCTCCTCTTTAAAAGTAATGAACAACCAACATGTGGATTTCTTACATTGATTATACACTGTATTTTTGATTTTTGAATTAAATTGTTTAAAATTGAAAAATATTATGTTCTGTCATAGGGTTCTGAGGATGTCAAACAAGAAATCAAAGAAGAAGAAACAGAAAAGGGAGGAAATAATCCCATCAAACTCTTCTCGTGACAGTGAGAAGAAGGTGAGAAATCTGCAACAAAATCGGAGTAGATTTTAATCTAGTTATTCCTAGCATATGATTTATGGTAAAAAAATTTTTGTCTGTTTTATGCTTTATCAATCAGTTTGACATGATCATTCTCATTTGTATTAGCATTAAATTATTAACATTAATTCTTGTTTGTATGTAAATCACATTGGATAAAAGCATTTGGTAAAAAAAAATAATGTTTTCTGGTCATAGGAGAGTGACGCAAAGATATTCAGCAGCCCAAAAAGAAAAAAAAAACATAATCTTCGGCATGTAAGGTGGGTCTCGGGTGCAAAATATTTGTTAATTAGAATCTATATTGTATACAACTGACATTGTGTCATCTTTACTGTGTCTGAGAATTTTTAAAAAAATTTATTGTGAAGCAATATTCTCATCAGTGATCTGTGAGCTCTTTATTATTATTATTTATGTATGGGGGGGGGTGTAGGTTGTGTTTGCAGAACGATGTATGTTATAATACATCGTGTACACTCACTAAACAAAGAGTGACAGCTTTTTAGTGGTTATACTTAAATCGGTTTTCTTTAATAAAGGTCTGTTTTGTTTCTTATTAAATCTGTGTATTATCTTTCATGTCAAATTCACAAATTATCAATAAAAACAATTAGAATAAGACGACACTATAGGGTTGTTACCAATCATATGAAATCAGTATCAACGAAATTCATCTTTCCACTGCCGAGGAAACACAGAAGCTGCATCTGAAATGGCATTTAGATGTATTTAGACAGAAGCTCAGAAGTATCATGAATGCATTTATGTTGCAAAATTACAACTGCATATATAAAGTTATGTACGGAAGTTCTAAGCGGCCATGCATTATTATTTTTTTCCTCCTTTTTTTCTCGTTATAACGACTTAATTTTCTCGTGGTCTCGACATAACGGGAGTTGTTTTCTCGTTATAACAACTTAATTTTCTCGTGATCTCGACATAACGGGAGTTGTTTTCTCGTTATAACGACTTAATTTTCTCGTGATCTCGACAAAGTTTTTTTTGTTTTTTTTACAATGATTGTTTGATCTACTGTTGCTATAGTAACGAACTGAACTTTGACACGCATCTGATGGACAGATAAACCATGTGCTCTTACTGTAGCCTATGTTGTGGATATTTCAGCAAATTTTGCTTCGCCTAGTAATAACGTCTACAATACAAAAATAAAGGCTGATCAATCACTGTTGATATTTCCAGAGACAGTACGCTAAACATTTTGTTTGTGTAATTAACATGTTTAAGGTCAAAGCAACACCGCAAACACAGGCGGAGTGCCTTCAGGATGCAGAACTATTCTAAAATCTTTTAGAGCTGCTTGGATTCAACTCACTTTTAATTTTCCTTTTATTTGAAAGAAAATTATATATAATTTGTAATTTTTAGTAGTCATTATATGCTGTGACTGATATCATGTGCGTTACAAGCTTCTGTTTGAAAAGAGCGTTCATTTGTAGGCCTATGTATATGTGTGTGTGTTTGTGTGGTTTCCACAAAGAAATGTCGAAAACACAAAAGATTACAACACTGTAGAACATCACTGAATTAAATTAGCCTATACACTTTACATATAAATCACATTTCTTATCAATATACATTTAATGATTAACGATAAAGATTAATAATAAGGAAAAGAGGCACATTACAAATAGCCTACGTCGTTGAAGCCCGTCCTACTGTAGATAAACAGAACATCCCCGCTTATTAACTAACAATCATGTACCTCAAAGAAGCACAAATAAAGATATAGGTGCAAACAGAATACAGTGACGTCAACCTTGGTTTTAATAAGCAGTTATTTTATGACACAGAACGCGTTGGTGAAACTCATGCATCTAGCAAGAACTTAATACACGAAATAGTCATATTGATTCAAGCATTTAACATGTATGAATGAATTAAATGTCAGTAATGAACAATACTGCACAAATTATAGCGATCACGAGGAATGTCCTATTCTATCCCAAAGGCGTACAGTAAAGTGTATATGTATAGCCTACAACACCCCATCAGTTATATTCAGGTCAATAGTGCCACCTGTTGGCGCAGTTTTGTAACTTAGAGAACAACTTTTGTTATGTCGAGATCACGAGAAAATTAAGTCGTTATAACGAGAAAACAACTCCCGTTATGTCGAGATAACGAGAAAATTAAGTCGTTATAACGAGAAAACAACTCCCGTTATGTCGAGATCACGAGAAAATTAAGTCGTTATAAGCAATGATACTTAAAAATAAAACGAAACCGCCAGTAGGTGGCGGCAAGTGACTGTCTTAATGAGTGAATCATTCAGTCATTCATTCAAACGGCTGATTCATTCAAGTATGAAGCAAGTGACTGTATGAATATGTCCATTTGAACCACTGACTCACACGATTCATTCGAAAACGCTGAATCATTCGTCGACGAAAGAACATAGTCTGCTGCTCAAAGATGTGCAAGTTCTGCAGTATATTTGTTTGGAACTCTTCTCGTTGGCGAAATAAACTGTCATTATGTCTAAAATGTAAGTCACTTTATATTAACATAGTTGTTTTATAAAAAATCTATGTCACATTTGCAAACGATCTTATAATTGTGCCGTCGTTTAACTATCATATGTTATAAATATAAAAACTCAATATTTTGACTGTACCGCAGTATGTTTATAATGTTTTACCGCAGTATGTTTGTTTGTTTCTCTTTGTGTGCTGTTGCCCTCATTTGATTTGATTTCTCTCACAGACAGGTTGCAAGAGCCTCAACTGGCGCTACCTTGTTATCGTAATTACATTATGTAGTATCAAACGCCGTTATAAAACAAGAACTATTCTCACCGAAGTTTCGTTGTTTTTTTGTTTTGTTCTTTTTTGGTTGCTGACGTTTTAATCAGCAAGTTACTTGTTCGGTTGGGCAAGTCAAATTCTTTCATTGCCCCTTCAAAAAAATTATGAAACCTTTAACTGAAATTGATTCCGTTATAACCAGAATACAATAAAAGTTGATGATAAAAAGAGTAATGCGTTTAATCAATGATTACTTGGTTATAGGAATCTACATTTTAAATCTGCATTAAGCAAATACAGTACTTCACATGCCATGGCTAACAATTTCCAAGTGCACCTGAGAGTAAGTAGATGTTCTTAACACAAGTTCATCAGATACATGTCTTGCTTACAGGTGTTATACCATCAGCATTTATTACAGAAGGTCACAAGTTAGCTTTATTGTGGTAGAGCCTCTTACCCTGCTTCAGCATAATGCAATGTAATAATAGTGCAATGCACAAGTTAAAAAAGATCAGCATAATAAATGTAAATAAAACATAGAAGAACCTAAAACAACAAAAAATTTAATATAGAAAGTAAATCAGATCACATTTTTATATTTCCTCAATCACCGTTTTCTCGCCAGAGTTACCGTGAGTGTTATCTATTCAATAAAACTTACCACTGACTTCTTTTTCTAATGATTTGCAGTTCTGACAAAGACAGAGCTAAAGAGAGGAGGGCCACTGACTCAACATCAACAAAAGGATTTGAAGGAGGATTCAAGAAAGCAAAAGTTAGAGACAGCAAGAGCAGGGAAGAAAGATCCCGAGAAAGCCAAACAACAGAGAATTCCAGGCCAGTTTTCAAGTCACCTGTCACACATGAGAAGGAGCAAGTGAATCATAAAGGGAAGCATGAAAAAGCAAGTCCCCATATCTCAGGGAAAAGCTCCAGCAGGCATTCTGCAACAAACCAGCCTTCTTCAAAAGAGTTGGAGAAAAAGAGACAGGAGCTGGTATCGAGGAGATCCACAGCAGAGTATCCCAGGCGGACACCTGCAAAGGATGATTGTTCCCCTGAGAAACCACAAGAGAAAAGGAGGAAACTCATGAAAAGGCCGTTGTCACCAGAGCTTCATGCTGAACCCAAACGAAGAGACATCAAAAACATGACCAATGCTGCACATGCAGAATCTCATTCTGAAGTTCAAAAGGAAACGAGGAAGACGTTGGTGGCCAGGAGGTTCAAGAAGATTGACCATAATGTTGGTGCACAGAGTTCTCAAGGCAACTCCAAAGAAGCTTTGCCAGTAGTGAAACATGTAGGCTCTAAACTGAAATTACCAGAAGATATTTCACCCAAGAAGCTAGACCATGTACAGTTGGGTAATGTCCCTGGTGTAATCTTAGGAGAAAAAAGGCCATCCCTTGTTGGTCCCACAGCAAATGTCAGTTTCAAGATCCCAAAGAAGGTCACTGCTGTTAAAGCTTGGACAAACACGGATGTGTGTAATGTGAATTCTTCAGATAGCAGGACTCAAAGTACCGCTCGGCCTTCTTTCCATGATTCTACTCCATCTAAACACAAATTTCTCATCTCACAGCAGCAAGGACAGAGGCTTCAAGAGGTTTCTGCTCAAACCTCTCATAAACCCTCTTCTCTTAGCTTGTCACATCTTTCGTCTACATCTCACTGCAGACCAGTCCAGCAGACACACACTGACAAAACAAGAGAGGCCACAACGCCGAGCAATACTTCCTGCAAGGTACAACATGTAAGTGACTCTCCAACCAAACGATTATTCACATATTTATATTTTAAGAAATGCATAGAAATAGTAAGGTTGAAATATTTTCTTCAATTTGATTGTTTTCACTCACTTCTCTTCTAAGCATCTCTATCATTAGTTACTTCCCATCTAGACTGAGTCATAAGACAAACTAGTTGTAGCATACACTTGTTCCATTTCCCTCTATGGCTGCACAGTACATTTCAACATTTCAGATTGCAACATAAGAAATATTTCCATACTCTTTAAAAACTTTCATTAGCACTCTTTTCAAGTAAAACATTTAATTCTCCATGAAAAATTTCCAGCACAGTTTTATAGCAGAATACAGTCAGATCTGTATGAGAGTTCACTAAAACAGTGGCTATAAGGCTATTGGGGTACCGGTTAACATTATCCAATAGTCCTCACGGTATTGAAGACAACAAAAAAGAGAATATGGTCAATTTTAGATTGTATTTAAGAGGAAATGACAGTGAATTTGAACATTATTAATGATGCTGAATTGTAACATATCTCTAACATACCTATGTATGATTTCAGGTAACTCTCCAGGAGGCTGCAGAGACCCTTGACTGCGACCACGAGGTTAACAACGTGCCTCTGATTTTAGAATGAAGTCTTCTGGATTTGTATGTTTCTCATTCTCTTTCGTTCCTTGTTTAGATGGAGCTGGTGGAGGAGCTTCATCTGGCACGCTCTGAGAGGCGACTGGAGGTGAACTTGATAGAGAACTGCGGAGAGCTCACCTGCATGGACATTGACGCTCCAGAAGAGGGTGCCGGCACAATGCTTAGTAAAGTCACCTATGAATAATTTTTTTAATAACTTATTACTGGAATAGCTAAAGGCCCGTTCACTCTCCAAGAATGATAACTATAAAAATAAATATGTCAGTGTTTGAACGGATGCCAATGTTTTTATCGTTCATCAGCTGGAAAAAAATCATTGCGAAAGTGATTCCAACAATATCCTCTGTGCCGTTATCATTGTAGTTGTTGTGTGGACTGTGCTAGTTATTTACATTTAGAGTGATTTAAAATGATATCTTTATTGTTATCGTTATCATCCTTGGTGTACGAGCCTCAAGTTAGTAACGTCCAACAGTATGCACCTTGTTGTAAAGATTCTTTTATTTGAATCATGGTGCATAGTTATGCTCTATTGTGTCTTTGTGCGTTTAACTCATACATGTGAAGATCAACATAAACAGGCCCTGCTTATTGTTCTGGATACCAATGTGCTGCTCAGCCACCTGGAGTTTGTGAAGAAGATTAGGTCACATGGTCTTGGTGGTAAGAAAAAAAGAGAGATTTTAAGTCACTAGCTTTTAACTTTAAAACATTGGAAGAATTATGTGGATGCAACATTTCACTCTGAACATCCTCATCACAGGGCTGGGGTTCCCCACTTTGCTGATCCCATGGGTGGTGCTGCAGGAGTTGGACTATCTAAAGAGTGGTAAACTCTCCAGCAAAGTGGAATACAAAGCCAGGCCAGCTGTCCACTACATTTACAGCTGCCTAAAAAATCAGGAGCCCAGACTTGTGGGCCAGTCAATGCAGCAGGCATCTCAAGCTGTTGGTGAGTGATTCTTATCCTGAGATGCATTATTATTTGTATTCGTGATGTGCCTGTACTGTGTGTCTTATTTTTCAAGAAATGTAAAAAGAAGCACACTTTGTGAAGGGGCAATAAAAATCTACTGCAGGGGCATTTCCGTTTGAATAAAAAACCCTCATTGGTCCATAATTATTTTCTTTCTTATTTCATTTAAAGTTCATGATAATTAATTGTACTTGTAAAAAGACTTTGAACAATTGTATAATTAAAGACGTTACCACTCAGCTGCATTATTCATTTTTGTTAACTGAATTAAAGTCAAAGTATAAATATTAGATGGAAAAACTTAAATTTGACAACTGAAAATATGAAAAAATAAAGGCCAAATTCAAAATATAAATAAATACTATAAAAGTATATAAAATATATTAAAATAGCACTGCATTATTTTAAAATTATTAATATTAAATTATAAGACCGGTTGTGTGATTCCAAAGTAGTGTTAAAAAGTGTTTTACAGCTGTGTCATAAAATTGCATTGTGATACCAAAAACCACTTTGTCATATAGTCATCTACATCAAAAATTCTGAAACTCAAGCTCTTCCATAGTGCAGTGGATTATAGGCAATATTAGCTCTAAAAGCATTCATGCATACTTAAAGAATCCACAGGAAACATTATGCCACCCAGACACCTTTGACATAGTTGCACCACTCCTAATCTACAAAAGTACTGTGCATAATATGGATTATATGAGTTCAGCCTTTGTCTCTTGGCTTTTCTCTCATTCAGGTGGGCCTGGTGTTGTGAATAATGACGACAGAGTGCTGGAGTGCTGTCTGCAGTACCAGGCTCTGTACCCAGAGGGAGCACTAGTTCTTTGCACGTGAGTACAAATTCTCATACCTCTGTTTCACCTCTAGGCATGTCTGCATGACATTAAGGACATTCCCATTTGTTTGACCTGCCTTGTCATTTGACATAGCTAATGAAATGCAAGGTGGCCATGTGTTTGCTTTATGAATGAAGATTATCTGATTTAATGATTATATTTCAGCCATTAGTGTCACCCTGAAGAATGTTCATATTGAAGGTAGAGGACATGACTTCCTTCTGCTCAAATGTGTCTTCTCTCTCTCTCTCTCTGGTTTCTTTTTGTAGCAATGATAAGAACTTGTGCAGCAAGGCTCTGCTCAGTGGGGTGAAGGCCTTAAGTAAGGTAGACTTGGTAAAAGAAGTGGAGGGAACCAGATCTACAATTCTAAATTACATTCATGCTCAACCCGCTGTGCCGCCCCCAGCTGAACCTGTAGAGAAAGGTCAGTTACCGTGTCACAGTTTTTCCTTCATTAGTAGTTTTTTTAATTCTTAAGTTACAAAGGCCTGAATGTAATTTTGTTGCCACCTCCCTGTGTGATCAAGCAGAGGAGAAAGGATCACAAAAGAATAAATGCAGTGATGAAGCGGAGGAACGACAGTTGAGCGAGTGTGTGTCTTTGTTGGAGTCCTGCCTCCAGGTGGCACTGTCAGAGGTGCTGGAGGAAGAGATGAAGGCGGCTTTTGGAGAACTGTGGACTGAGGTACCACTGCACACATTGATCTATTGATCTATTCATTTTTTATGAAGTTTATATTAAGAACTGCTCCTCTTAAAGGGGTCATATGATGCGATTTCATTTTTTCCTTTCTCTTTGGAGTGTTACAAGCTCTTGGTGCATAAAGAAGATCTGTAAATTTGCAAAGACTAAAGTCTCAAATCCAAAGAGATATTCTTTATAAAAGTTAAGAGTCAGCCACACCCCCCTAAAACGGCTCGTTCGAACACGCCCCCACATATCTACCTCACTATGTGGGAAGATTTGCATAACACCGCCCAAATGTTCACGCAAAGAAAGAAAGCGTAACTTTTATTCTCGCTGTAGTATTGTTGATGCTGCAGCCATGTCCTGAAGACGCTGTGTGCTTCATTGTGAAAGCGAAACTACTTTGTTTGATCTTCCAAAAGAGGACGATATCCGCTTCATCATACCTGGAGCTGATCCGTGCTGGTCGCTGAGGAAATACATCAACTTAGTGCTGTGGACCGCCGGATCGGCCCTCACCGTTTTCACCGCCCCTTCGCCGGGACCGCCGGGACCGCCGTTCTCGACCCCGCCGCCTCAGCTCACTCCCGCTAGCTTCCCCTCACGCTAGGCCGCTGTGTTTTTCGTTGTGAAAGCGAAACTACTTTGTTTGGCCTTCCAAAAAAGGACGATATCCGCTTCGTCATGCCTAGAGCTGATCCGTGCTGGTCGCTGAGGAAATACATCAACTTAGTGCTGTGGATCGCCGGCACATTTTATGGAGGACTGTTTACTGATCCTGGGAGAGTAACGTTAGACTAAAATGCCGGCAGTTCTGACTCACGTAAGTACATTTTC